CCGCCGCACGCCAGCCGCCAAACTGGTCGGGTCGGGTCAACCTGGCAACCCGCCGGGTCGGGTTCGGATTTCCGACCCGTTTGTCTTCCCGGGTCGGGTTAGGGTCGACCCGTTTGAACCCGGGTCAGTTCCAAGTTCGACTCGAACCCGACCCGTGACCCGAAATTGACACCCCTAATTGAGAGTATAGGCAACACATGTCACTACTTGGGCCAAGACTTTGGCATATTCTTACACTTGATCATACTTCTCACCTTATGGAAGATAGCACAATTTTTTTTCTTGCCACACATTACTAGTGGGGATAAAAATGGTGTTGTTAGTTGATGTCAAATTCCATGCCATTCATAACATTGTTTAAATTCTTTGGAAGTGAACTCACAACCTCGATCAAATTAGATTGATTTTATTTAACTACATTCTTTCTCTACTAATGACTTAGAATTTTTCGAATGTTAAGTAAAAATGTACACCCGAAAGAGTACGCGATCAAATAAGTAATAAGGCGATGGGTAGAGATAACATCCCTGTAGGTTGAATTTGCTAATTACCAAAATTGAATTAATCAAGACTTATTTCAAGGTTCAAATAGATTGCTTGCTAATCACTAGAAATAAAACTAAACAAAGGGAATTAAAATGTCCTAAGAACTTGAAAACAAAAACACACAAAATTATTTAAATATGGATGAAAATCTAGGGGTTAAGTTTCATTATGACATTCTCATGATTTGCAATTACAGCCAAAACAACAACATCATCAAGCATTTATCCCACTGTGGGGTCAGCTACATGAATTTGTTTTCTTCATTGTGTTATGTTAAGAGTTAAATTCTCATTTTCAATCTAATAGAGAAAGATAATTTCTAATATTTTTTTAATAAAGTCTTTTTAGGTCTACCACTATTTTTCTTAACATAAGTCAAATCTAATACATCTGCTCTCCTAACTGGGGGAAGACTGCCATTTTATGTTACCAAATCTCTCTCTCTAATCTTATCTTCCACTAGAACTACTCCAACCATTTTATGTATATGCTTGTTTAGTATCATGTCTCTAAGTGTAAAGCCAAACATCCACCTGAGCTTCCTCATTTCTGCAACACTTTAACTTAATATTATGCTTCGCTTTTAATGGCTAACATTCTACACCATAAAACTTTACAAGTCTTGCCACCATGATTTGCAATTACGACCAATCAACAATAATAAATTTAATGTAATCTTATCCAAAATTGCTTAATGAGACTAATTTAAGAAAACAACCTATCTTCATCTTAGAGATAAAGCCAATTTTATAAAATTTTATCAAAAATAGATATCTAAATGATTACACAATTGCATCATAGATATTTCTATCCTATGATTAGTTGTATTTTAATCACGAAGAACTAATTTTCTCTCTTAATTTCAAACAAGCTTTCAAATCTTTTAATTGGTGGCCAGATAATTACAATAGTAAAATTAGTTTAAAAATGTGAATAAGAACCAATGCATAATTAAATTAATTAGAAACCAATATTGAAAAATCTAGTTATATTTAACTCCTAACAATTGGGATTTAGGCCTAATATGACCTATAAAAATATTGAAAATTGCACTTCGCTTTGGTTGACATCAAAGATGGTTTAAGCAAAATCATGCTATGTTGGACGGTCAAAATTCTTTTATGCAAGGAGTTGCTCACTAAGCTGATTTTGTTTCACGGCAGAAAAGGTTTGCTCTCAATATGAAAGGAAAGAAATCTCTCAAGTTATTCATACATAAGTTTGAAATCGAGAGCTAATTTAAAAAAGGGCCCATAAGAAACAATATTCACATCTTAGGGCATCTCCAACCGAACGCCAAACGAGCGTATGCTGTCCGTCCGTCGCTCCAACCGAACGCAAAAATTTCCGCCATTTACTTACAGGTGAACAGTGCGACGCCAATATTAGCATCACACTATTCACCCATGTAATTTTACTCTCTCAACCGGTAAATCGCGCGAAAGGGAGAAGATCGTTAACTTCCGAAAAACACCTAAAATGACGTTCGATTGAAGCAGCATCACGCCATTTTGGAGTTCTTCGTTATTTTGCCGTAAATTTTGGAGTTCTCCGTTGGAGATGCCCTTAGTATTGAGCTTCTCATGATATTGAGAACAGCAGAGCAAGCAGAAGAAGAACACTAAGCAGAAAGTAATTCATTTGTATTGAGTTTTACTCTAGCACAATCGAGAGGTTATTACGTACGAAGTCTAGAACGTCCGGAGTCGAAACCGGACGCGCCACGTCACCCGGATGCATTGGGCCCGGGTGACGTGGAGAATCCAAATTCGTCTCCGGACAAATCCAGACAACGCACGTAATAATTTTCCAGCACAATAGGTGTATATATACATAGGTACAAGTAAAAAGATACAATAACTAAAGTACAGTAGGTAGTTACATAAAGTAGAAAGGTTGCTGGAGTGCAGTGGAAGTGGCGGCGATCTTTGACAAGCGGCAGAACAGAGGTTCAGCTGGAATGTAATGGTAGTGAAGCTGAAATACTCTTATCACTTAAGAAAAAGTCTGTTTAACAGTGCTAGACTGCTACTTTTAAGAAAACCAAAACCATGACAGTGCAACGAGTAATTTTATCTAAGAAAGATGAGAAATGAAATTTGAATCGCTGCGCATATACGGTTCCATCGAGAGAAGCCTATGGAAGTAAGACTTTTTCAATCCATGCATACGAGCAATATCAGCTCGCACAAAAGAAGGATATGTGTATGCACAACCAGTTACTACAATGGCTGTGTTTCTGCTCGCCAAATGAGCAAGAGGAACAATTGCCTCAGGCTCCGTATCCAAAGAAGCATCCACTAAAAAGATGTGCGTGAAATGCTCAGTATCAATCCCTGCAGCATAAAGCCTGAAGCTGCTCATAAAGGTGCACGTTATTATACTGAAAGTTGTGAGCTCTGCAAGTGGAGGACATGCGAAGCACTCTTCATCTTCCTCATACAGGGATGCAGGAATTATGTCATCAGGCACAAGATCGTAATCTCGGTAGGCAGCATTAGCTCGGAAAAGACTAGTTAACGGTATTTGTTTCCCCAAGCTTCTCAACAGCAGATCAGATGTCTTGTTGGTCGGAGAACATACGAGGATTCTGCAGCCAGGATTAGTTCTGTAAATACTAAGCAGTGCTACTTGAATAATCAGCCCGGTGAACGAAAGCTTTTCATCAGGAGGCCTCCCCTCTTTGACCAGCTGCCCATTCACGAGATAAGGTATGGGGCCTTTATGATTCAAAATCCTTTTTGCATGATCATGAAATGGAAGCTCGTTTTCATGGAGGTGGAAAGTGTTAGGGTCAGAAGGGACGATTAGATCAGGGAAGAGGACACTAAGAAAAGAAGGATCACTTGCAATTGATATGGCATGGTGGGCTCGCTTCAGGCAGACCCTGTTGAAAGAGAAGTTCACATCGTATCTTTTGGATGGAGAATGCTGTGAATGGAAATCTTCCCCAAATTCAACTAAAATAATGCCCTTCGTCACCCGGAAAAGTCTCCCCTAGCATTGAAAACCATGAACTAAATATTAATTTTGCTGTGTAACAAAGTCACACTTTTGAAGTTCAAAATTGCAATACTGACCTTGAAAGGCCCAGCAATCTCATTTAGCGGCTTTAAGAAGACGAAATCTCTTGATAGAAGATATGGACGCTTCTCAGGAACTGAAACAATCTTGAAGGCTACAAAATCTCTCTGTTGTGAATTTGTTGGGTTGATTCTACTGCGCAGTTCCAGTGTGATCCCCTCCAACAGATATTCACTCCATTTCTGATCATGTAAAATAACAAAAAAAAAAAAAAGCAGGTTCAAAGGGATTAGATAAGCATATCAATTACATAGGGCAAATTCAGCATTCAATGGCGGTTTCTTCCTCAGTTTCTACACTTACAAATTAGGAAGTACAAACTGCAGAAATAAACATGGGCTTTGTGAGAAGATGCTCATAGATGTGATCCTTTGTTCAATAGATGAAAATTTGTGCACCCTCTAAAATTTTAAAGTTTAGGATTACAGAAATCTCTTGAAAAATATTTATGATGTTTTTAGAAAAGAAAATATATGCCCTGCCAAGAAAAAATTATGTCTACTCACTATAATAGCGACCATAATGCAAAAGCATAAAATATTTTGGAAAAAAGAGAAAAAATAGCTTCATAATAGTTGTTCAAGCTCAAAAACAAAAGAGAGCACAGGTTAAGGGAATTAAAATATGAGATAATCGTTTAAATTGATCTTGTGTTACACATTTTATCCTAATGAATGCTCTAATCATTGAAGCATTCAGAGCAAGGACAAAGCAACTTTCAAGGAGTACAAAGATTTAACAAGTGGACTTTTGTTATCAGTATATACACTTTGGTATGGTTTACAAAAGATGAGCTCAAGAAGTTGATTTGCATAATTGTAAATAAATTTTATAAATTTATGCATTTTCCCTTAATTTCCTCCCAAATCAGTCACTTTTTCCTAAAATTAGATATATTTCCCTAATTAATTCCCTCTAAATTGTAATTAAAGTTTTCCTGAACAATTTTCCCTTGATACCTCCTTACATAATAAATATTAACTCCCCTAAGCTTTCCCTAAATAATTCTCAGATTTAAACTTTAAATTTAAATTTTTCCTAATTAATTCCCCCCAGGTGTAATTAAAATTTTCCTAAACAATTCCACCCCCCCTTCTTTCCTACCAACCACTTTTGTGGGGCCCACTGGCTTAGCCGCCGGTCTGCAATACTACCCACCCAAAAAACCACCTTGTCTTCAAGGTGGATGGATGAGAACTGTCTAGTACTGGGCGATATGTCTAGTCATGGGCGATCATATCTAAGTAATTTGGATAACCATCTCTAATGCTCCTTATTCACCATCCTCTGTTCCAGCAGAAACCTCAAACTCATATGATATGTCCTGAGGATAAAGTGTCACCCCAACAAATAGGGTTGCCACTTTTGGATGACTAAGATAATTTTCATCAACTCCCGCTCGTATACAGACTTGAGCCTCACCTTGGTTGTGAGCACCTGACTGAAATAAGCAATGGGTCGATGATCCTGTACGAGTATTGTCCATAGGCCGTATCCTAATACATATGTCTCCACCAGGTACACCCACCCATGGGCATACTCATCTTCAAATATCGACATCTTCCACTTCCTCACCCTAGCATCTGCACTCCAACTTTGTCCCTTTCCAACGGTTTTCCCCATGCATCGAGGGTAGGACTCTGACCTCTCTTCCATCCTCCTCGCATGACCCGATCCCCACAGCTTGGCTTGACCCTTTTCATCTCCGGTCACCAACTCCATTTGCCCAAAATATCTCCCATAGTGGTCGGCCACCTCACCACTTCCACCATAAAATTCCCTCCTTGCAGTCTCCCTATCCGGAAATCATGATATGCCCCTTATCAAAGCCCTAAGAGATTGTTCTTGATAAAAGAAATTCTTCTCATTGAACTCCTCATGTTCGATCACATTTCCCTTAGATTCGGCCAAGGGAATCCCGATCAAATCTTAGTTAGGGTTAATCAGAACTTTCAATGGAGTTTTTGATTGCATCTCCATGAGCTTCCTCAACATCTCTTCTAACCTTCCAAATCGGCTCTCCATCTGATTCTCCATAGTTGGAAACTTCTCCTCCATACAGGATTTGATTTGCTCCTCTTCGCCTTGTAACACATCCATCTTCTTTGCTGCCATATCTCCAAAACATCACTATGACACTAATTTGATAGGAAGTTGATGCACTTTTCACAAAAATCAATGGATGAAACATGAAAAATTCGGAAGAAGAACACCCCAAAATAATTTTTATTGAAAGAATTATAAAGTGAAATGCAAGATACAATTGGATTTTCAATTGGAGAGGAAGATTCAGCTTTCCCAAATCCCTAGTTGTCAGCTAAAGTCCAAATAACTTAAGAATAAACAAAATTCAACAAACTCCAAAATATAATATGAAATCACCTTACTGTTAGCCTTAAACAGGCTCTCTAATCCCTATCAAATCAACCCCCTTTTCCTAAATAATTCTCTCTCATATTTGAATTCAAATTAGATCTCTTGTCATAAATAATTCACTCTCAATTGTAATTAAAACTTTTATAAATAATTTCCCCTTAATTCCTCCTCCCTTTCTCTAAATAATTCCCTCTTAGATTTTGAATTCAAATTAGATCTCTTGCCATAAATAATTCTCTCCCAATTATAATTGAAATTTTTTCTAAATAATTCCCCTTTGATTAAGAATCTTTCTAAAATTGCAGTACATTAACAAAAAAAAGGATGCATGCAAGATGGATTGTTTTCTTCCAATAGTTCAATTTTGTAATTAAACGTAAGGCAGGAAAATCAAATAGAGTTGCAGATGCAGACGATTGGCCCTCTTGACTCATCTTCAAACAGAAATTACTGGTTTGCAATCCCTTCAAGAATTATATGTTGCTGATTTTGATTTTGAAAATTTTCAAAAAGCTTGTGTGGCAGGACAACCAATACATGATTACACCTTACATCATGAGTTTTTATTTAAAGACAACAATTTATACATTTTAGAGTCATCTGGAGACCACAACTAATTAAAGAAATGCACAGTGGAGGTTTTTCTGCTCACGTCGGGCGAGATAAGACACTATAACAACTACAAAACCTTTTTTATTGGCCACACTTGCGCAGGGATGTCCCTTGATTCATAGAGAAATGCTCGGTTTGTCAGGTTTACAAAGGTATTGCCCAAAACATCGGCCTTTATCTTTCCCTCCCAATCCTAGATTTCATTTGGGAAGATTTAACTCTTGATTTTGTTTTGGACCTACCTTATACTAAACGAGGAGTTGATTCTATAATGGTTGTTGTCAATCGTTTCTCCAATATTGCACACTTCATTGCGTGCAAGAAGACCTTTAACGCTATCAATATTGCTTGTCTCTTCTTCAATGAGATCGTTTGATTGCACGGCATACCTCGTAGCCTCACCCTGACTAGCCTGTTTTTGAAGAAACTTTGGAAACGTTTAAACATTGACCTCAAACTCAGTTATGCTTATCATCCTCAAATAGATGGTCAGGCCGAGATCGTCAATAGAAGACTAGGCAATATACTTCGATCTCTCGTCCAAGAATATCATAAGAGATGAGAAGACCTCCTTAGCCAAGTGGAATTTTCCTACAACTCAATGTCCAATCGTTCTACTGGTTGCAGCCCGTTCCAAATTGTTTACACCAAGCAGCCTAACCACCTTGTGGATTTAGCAATCCTACCGAAGTGCAATTATGCTTTAGCAAACAAAACAACAGCCCAAGTGACCAACATCATTAAAACAGGGAAAGCAAGGCTCCAAACATTATCTAACAAGTACAAGAAACTAGCATATCTTCGTAGGCACCGCAAAATTTTTAATTTAGGTGAACTAGTAATGTTGTGTATGGGTAGAGAAAGATACCCTCAAGGATCATATTCCAAACTTAATAAAAAAAATAAAAATCGGCCCATGTCCCATTATCCATAGAATTAATGACAATGCTTATATAATAGACCTTTTGTTCACCATTCACACTTCTTCAACGTTTAATTTGGTAGCCATTTATAGTTATCATCCTCCTGACGGCGTCCAGGTTCCCTCTACCTCATTGGAGATGAGCTCTTCGGAACTAGGGGAGAATTAATGCAGATAATGCATGCCTGTGGGACAATATACCACATTTTTACTCTCCACTACTACGTATATGCCATATTTCCTTTTTTTTTCTGTAGTTTTGTACCACACCTGTCACGACCCGACCCGACGGGGACGGATCCCGCCCGAGCCGGATCGCGACAGAACCTTCTTATCCAGGATCTGGCTTTGGAATTTGGTTCTGAACTGAATCTTCCAAAATAATCAACTCGACAGATACACAAACACAGAACAACATTTCTCTAGCGCGGTGAAAGGGAACTTTGTGTGAAGCTTGCGGCAATGTGGGTAGGCCCTGTACATACTTTTTTCTAGCTTAACGGGGTAAAATTTAAGTAGCCTTGTGTGCCTTAGTGCCGGTAGAGAAAGAACAATGTGTTTCAACCAGGTACCCCTGAAGACTCATACATGCCTTTCTCTGACGTTGTGGGATTGGAGAGCAAGGCCACGGTGTCACTCGACACCTACCGTACACACTTTTCTTTAGCATGATGGGAAGGCCAAGCTCCTAGAATTTTTCCTAAATGAGCGAGACGCCGGAAGGCTACCAGAACTCAAAGTGACAGGGAACAAGACTTATACATGAAACATGGAACTTGATTTGAACTAAAAGATAGCATGGAATTGAAATTAATTGAATAATCAAGATAAAAATGCAATTAAAATGAAATTTATAACATAAAATATACGTAGATGCCAATTGAACAAAAATAGAGGACCTGTAATGAAGGTAACAATTTATATACAAATAATTGCAAGAATTTATAATAAACATGATAATTTGTTCATAATGCAAGGGAATTCATAATATATACAATGAATTACCTATAGATGGCCACAAATAATACACAACGATTGTGTTAATTTGCAAAAGAAGGTTCCTAATGAGCGTGTTAAGCTTGTTAAAGAGTTCTTAATGAACGTGATAATATATGAGGCATGTCCACAACTACTATTAGTTAGCTTGCAAATAGAAGTACCAATCCTCTATGACTATTGGAAGTTCATATGCAATGAATGCAGCAATGCCCTGCGATCAACTTCAACATACAAGTAAATATAGTAATCTCTGCAAGCAAAAACAATAGATGT